CGCCCAAAAAAGGGTGGTACTTCCTCCCCCCGCTCACCCTGCCAATTCACCTGACAACAGGAGCTGACACTAAAACAAATTCCTTGTATTGGCAATAAAGCTCTTTCTGACTGTCTTGACTTCTGACTGAAAAAATGAATACTGTATGACCGGGGTAGGGCAATGTTTATGGTAACCGTTGGAGATTCTTAGTCCTCCTTTCCGTTCTTTCAGTCGCTTTACGTATACGTCGACTTTCCATGTCCATTATTGTGAAACCCACGAGACACAACAAACACACAGCTCCGATCACAGCGTCCTCCATCCTCCTGTTGTTAACGTAGTTCTTTGTTTCTGTTGTTGAACGCCGCGCACAAATGAAGTCGCTGTCGACCGGCTTACGTCACTTCCTAGTACACACTCTCGGTGCGAATGCAACCCTTTAAATGCTACTGGGAAATAGTTACAGTTACGCAAAATCGTCCCAGTACTTTAGTACCGTACATTTAGTTCTGGAACTAAAGCGGCGCGAAAGGCCCTATATTAATGACTGGTACCATAAAATGACTGTAAAAAACATGATTTGCAGTTAAAAAAAATAAAGTTTTATATAGTGATAAACCTCACATTTCAGCCTTTAATCTATTTTTAAGAAAAGGGATTAGTCAAAAGTAGCTATAAGTTATCTTAAAACTTTAAATCTTTAAAACACACCCTCACGCAAAAGTATAAATTATCTTAATTTAACACACACACACTTTGTTAATCGTTTGGATTTTTTTGAAGGCACATTAGTGATTTTTGCATTTTCTTCCGAACAAGAACAGCAAATTCCCAGCAGGTGGCGCTTTTGGAACAGCACAAACCGGTTTCCCCGGTAACGACTGTACATAAAGCAGCACTGCGCTCATTAACGCTACATTATCAGACATTATACACAGGCAAGATTAAATGAAAACAAACCGTCTGCCCTTTTCTGAGGGCAGACGGTTTCCTTCAAAGATACTTTCATATCAAAACACCCGCGCCGCGTTTTGACATTTTGTTTATTCAATTAAATCATACCCTTATGAAGTTTAATTGTCACATTAAGCCACATCATGATTCTTGTCTTTCCGTCCTCAAGTTTTAAGACATCTTGAAATTATAATATAGTATTTTCTTGTTCCTAGCATTTTGAGGATTTTTCCTCACTGGTGACTAATCTGCGCTCAACACCGTGTGCGACTTGTTATAATACTGCTAACTAATACTATAATAACAGAGGGGGGGAAAAAACGTGCATAGAAAAATCTTATGCATTGTGAGCAGATCTAAACGTATGCCGCAATGAACACTTTTCATTAATTTTCACATTTCACTTTAATCGCAAGTCTTAAAATATTTAGTTTAACTGAGCAGGGGCATTTTTTAATTTACCTTTTATATGGCTCGAAAGCGCAGACTCTTCCATGAAAAGACACACTCTACTCAAGTTTAGTTCTCGTTTTAACCATAATTTGTTATTTGTCGTTTTCAAGCCATCGCTGACTGAAGCAGCAACCACTATTCAGTAAGAAAGCGAATTATCATCAAACCAATGCATTTGCATTTTCAAGCTTTTTATCCAAAATCCAAGCATTTTCATCTATCTATCTATCATCTCACAGTAAAACAAAAGAACAGATAATCTGTATTTACGTTTAAAACTTTTATTTCCCTGTAAAATGACAGTATAGTGATATTAAACGTCAAACTATGGAAGTCATATACATGCTTTTAATGGTTCTTAATGTATATGAAAGGGCTGCATCATGTGTCAGTATCACTCAAAACACCCACATTAAGAGCCGATCCTTTACTCAGACGCTCATAAAGAGAGAAACCAATCTATCATAACTCCATTTGCTTCTTTAAAATCTTTACTGTCATTTAAATCTGCAGCATTTGGGATCCCTATTAATGGTCACCTTGAATGAGAGAAAGAGAGCGATAAGAAACAGAAGAAAAACACTGATATAATGTGATCCAACCAAATGTCCCGATCAATCCGGATTCCTAATTCATGGAAAACTAATTTCACGAGCCCCCTGAACCTGCTAACATGTCCTAACGATGGAGAAAACAATGCTCTTTATCGGTCATAAGAAAAGAATAAATGAAAAACAAACAGGTATCACACAGGCAAGTGTTAGATGAAGCAAAGAGGCTTTTACTGATTTCTGCCTCTGGAGACGAACAAATGATGCGCTCGTCTCCAGACGGACGCGATCATGTCATCCAGTGTGTAAAATTTAGACAGAATATGACAGCCTGTGTGTTTGTGTGAGAGTGTGTGTGTGTGTGTGTGTGTATTTGTATAGATTTTCTTCTCAAAAATGATCATCCAAAAAGAAAAAAAAAAAAAAACATAAGAGGGGAAAATGATCGGGGTGCCACTCTTCTAATCATCATCAAAGTTCTGTTGTAAAAGGAAGTTTGCAGCCAAATTTTCATTCTTCTCACAAGCAAAGTAGGCCTGTATAACGAGTCCTTCTGGGAATCCAAGGGCTTTTAGCTGAGGAAGAAACACAGAGGAAACACGGAAAGGTTAGATAAGACCACAGAAAGACTCCTGGTGTCCGTTTGGGGAAAAGACTTGCGCACCTTTGATCGTTCGCCAGACAGATCCTCCATCTGTATCTCTCTCTAATTAAGGGGCCTCGGTGTAATTAGTTAAACTTGAAATTCAGACTTTACGGCTTTAAAAAGTATCTCAAGGCTCAGAACAAAGTTAGAAAAACTAGAGTTGAGGATACAGACTTTCTGAGCTAGCAAGTGCAAATCAACAGCTTGTTGTGGCCAATAATTACTGTGAATAATTACACCGAGTATTTCTATGCACTATTCCTCAAACGCACGCACATGCAAGTCAGACGGACAGGGCTTTGGTGTCATGCTTTCATGCATTACTTGCACACTCATTACAGATTTCCCAGTTACAGGGTTCCAGCGAGTACTTATAAAGTCTTCAATTCAGTTTGATCCGTGTCATATCAGTCGATATTGATAATCATCACGATGAATGTCAAATCTTTATTTCTTTCAAGTTTAAAGCCAGATTTTTGCTCCAAAGTGAAAGCTGTTCCTTAATTTTCCTTCAAATAAATATCTTAATAGAAAAATGTATTTCTCAGTTTCTGCATGTTCTAATGAGTGATATTGTTTCAAATCAAGAAACAGGTTTGTGTTGCCTGATAATATTAATAATACTCAATAATATTACTTTTTTTGTCTCTTAGAAATGCACATTTGATAGTATCGCAATAGCTATTATCTGACCACCACACTGAATATGAAGAATATCAAAAACTTCAGGAGTCTGCTGTCCACGGCAGTCCTTAAGATACCAGCACAATAACACACTCAGCAAAATATAACCCAATCGATACAATCCCAGAAAATATCAAGATATTATTTTTTGTCAATATCGCACACCCCTATCACCAATGTAAAAAGGTACCTGCAGGAGCTGCGGGTTCTCTCGGCCGATCTGCTGTAGTAGAGCTGGTAGGAGAGACGGGTTCTGCTGGATGATCTGTCTCATCTGCAGGAACTGCGGCTGGTTCCTCAGGAACTCCAGAGGATTCGCTGCACACACAGGACCAGTGTTGAGAAACTTACTTTTAAAAGTAATGCATTACACAATTAGGGCTGGGTGATATAGCTAAAAAAATGTATCAACGATATAATGTTTCATATCGTTCGGTATCGATAAGTATTGACATTTTTTATAAGCAATAGAAAAAAATGTGTAAATTGAACCACTGCATTTATAATTAACACAATTTATTGAGACAAACAACAAATATTTTTAGTTTTAACAATCAAACACGATATAGCTAAAAAAATTTATCAACGATATAATGTTTCATATCGTTCGGTATCGATAAGTATTGACATTTTTTATAAGCAATAGAAAAAAATTTGTAAATTGAACCACTGTATTTATAATTAACACAATTTATTGAGACAAACAACAAATATTTTTAGTTTTAACAAACACAATAAAAAAACAAATATCTAATTTCTAATGTTTTATATGCATGTCTTTATTTGCAGGTCTAATTGTTTATTTATTTGCAGGTCTAATTGTTTATTTATTTGCAGGTCTAATTGTCTCCCGAGGGCGCAATGAGCAAAATAATGCAGCGTATTTAAATTGTCAACGCAAGGAAGTAACTATAAAAACGTGCATTACGTCTACATTAACTCATATAAATCAAATATAATTTTGTAAATTGTATAAACAATTATGAACAAAACAGCATCATGTATTTATGCATTGCTTTATCTAAAGAGCCGAAGCACCGATCACACAGACTGCCTTAAAAAACATACGAAACGCAGTGAAAAGGAATAAACCTCCACAAATTCGTGACGTGTTTTCTACAAGTTTTAACCGTTTTAACTTTGCATGGCTTTCTCTTGTGTGAGATGCGAGTGCAGCGGTCGTATTTGTCCGTCTAAAAAACACGCTGAATATGCGTTCTGTGTGAATGGCTTGGTTTCGGTTTTATCCTAATCCAAGGTCTTCTCCGCATTGAGCTTCTATATTGCTTTAATATTTTGAATGAATAACGCAGCAGCGGCGCGTCTCGTGGGCTAGCCTAACAAAACATTAAAATGCAACAACGTCGTCATCATCATCATCACCGCATCTCGTGCGCCACTGATGACGCTCCCTGACGCACTCCTAACATTCAAATGCAAATGTTTATTTTACATTCGATTAATATTCATTCTTTATTCACAATCTCCTCATCACAGGCAGGCACAGCACTCAGCATGTGTTCGTGTGTGCTGTCTGCGTCACTCATAGTACGTGCCTATATCGAAAAAATTTTCTATCGATATCGAAGTGTACCGTCGATAAATATCGATACCGTTTTATCGCCCAGGCTTAATTACAATATTGCGTTACTTCCTAAAAAATGTTACTTAGTTACTTTTTATTGAAAGTAATGCGTTACGTTACTTTTAAAATCTGGGCAGGGCTTGCTTGTTTGCTTTTAATATAAAAAGTTCTACTTTTGGCAAATATAAAAGCCCTTTCACACCAAAAGCCTCAGGCTGAAGGAAATGTAAATTCACGTCTGTACAGTAGAACGCAGAAGAAGAAAGTTCAGCACTCTTCAGCAATAAAAAAAGAAGAAGAAATGTTAGTTTATCATGTGTAATTTTTGCTTATTAGTACGGTTGAACTGGATCATTGAAGGTCAGCAGCAAATTGGTTAAAAAAATGGGATTGAATACATAAAGGATATGTATTATTTAACATTTAATTATTGCAGCTTTGTGACATTCTGAGTTGCTTTTAACTGTTTTTATTAATTTTGAAGAAAACTAAATCTGTTTTGTTTTGTGAGTGAGTGAGATGAATTAAAGCATGTTCACATTTATTCTATAACTAAAGTAACATCTTACTCCCGATTTCTCTCAACATGAGACAGGAGAGCTTTCAATCAATAAATGGGAAACAAAGTAACTGGAGTTACTTATTTGAAAAAGTAACTCAGATATTTTCTTGTAAATTAAAAAGTAATGAGTTACTTTACTAGTTACTTGAAAAAAGTAATCTGATTATGTAACCCGCGTTACTTGTAATGCGTTACCCCCAAAACTGCACAGGACAGAGTCAGAGAAACGGGCTTTCGCACGGTCGGCTAGCAAATGAGTCCGTGCCCAAGAATTAACGCGAAAGTGATGAAAACTAGTAAGTAAATGAAGGTGGCACCGACAGAAGGTGGTTCTAATGTTACGTGATCTTTCCCAAGCATTCCAATTAGGGCTGGGCGATGTTTCCGATTTTATCTATTAATTTGATTTAGATTTTTTAGAAATCGAGGAATCGCTTTTAAATAGAAATATTACCAAACGTTAGAATTAGACACTTTTACAAAATGCCGGTGATAACAGAATGCACTTTTGTTTTGTGTTGTGTTGAGTAGTAGCAGTATAGTTTTTATTTAATGCCATGTCAGCATCTTAGGCTATTTTCATTGCAAAAACAATTCAAGTATAACAAATACAATAAAAACCAGCAAGCAAACACACACACAAGTTATATTACACAAGATTTTTTACATTAACGTGTGATCAAAATTCTAAAACTTTTTCTGGCAAAATTATACTAAACTCTTAAGTGAGTTCATTTCATAAAAGAGTTTTCTACGTACATTAAAAGCGGGACAGTCCAATAAAATATGCATTGAGTTTGGTCTTCCGCTTTTGTGTTGATAAAGATGTGACACGGGCAGTGGAATAGTAAAAACATGCAAGAAGATGAGAGTGAGCTTCTTTTAACTTGAGCGGCGTGTTTTAGAAAGCTGTTTCATGCATGAGACGCTGCAAGAGACGCGAGTGCAGCAGTCAAACGTGTCCATGTTTACACAGAACAAACTATGGAAAAGCAGCGCAAGCGAATAAAAAACCTGTAACTACTACTGTGTGTCTGATATTTCATGTTTGCATCACGGTGACAGACTGAAACCTGCTGTTTTACAGAACATTTATAGTTAATAATAGTCTACTGCTGTTATTCCTTCAGTACCTTGACTTTTGAATTTTTTTTAAAAGCATTTTCTTTCTGAACATATAATATGTATGGGTCAGCACCTCCCACACTGCCCTCGCTCTCCGCAGGAATATCCTACAAAACACACACACACACACAACCCTCAGAAGACGCATCCACAAAACATCTCTGCAGTAGTGTTCATTTTGTCAGCTATTTTCAATTTTAGTCTTAATCCAGTGTTAAATGTCCTTGTTAGTTTTTAATCATATTTAATAGGGCTGGGTAAAAAATATAAATATTTCGATATTAATCGATTCCCATTTTTTAACGGAACGATATTGATTCTTAAATCCCAAGAATTGATTATTCTAGCCTGTTTTCAGTTAATGTACGGAGTGTTGAAGGGCACTTCCCATCCAATAAATCACAATAAGCATTGTGCTTTGGTACTTTTAATATAAAATAAAGTCTCATATTTCAAATTCTGTCCGTTGTATTGCAGTATTCAAACAATAAATGCTGTTTTGGCGCTGTTTAATGTGAACTGACAGATCGCACGTGAACCGATCATCTCCTCCACATTAAAACCAGTTTCAGCACAAAATAAACATGACTAAACATCCGAAGGTAAGTTAAAAGAAAGACACAACTTTACAATCCGTATCCGGTCTCGTGTAATCGCTCAATCAGTGTTTCAGCCGCGCAGAGACGTCAATATAACGGCTTGTAAACAATGTCACGCAACGTCACATTTACCTCAGAAACACATAACGTTATTCAGTGATTTATATTTATATCCAAAATAAACGACATTGAATCGAATCGGTAATCGAATCGAAAGCCTGTGAATGAGAATCTAATTGTGAAATCGCCCTAATATTTAGTCAATCTGATCCTATTTTATTTTAGTATTAGTATTAAGTTTTAGTCGACAATGTCTCAGTCAAAGAAAATATAAAGTATTTTAGTCTAGTTTTAGTCAATGAAATCTTCATCATGCTGTATAATGGTTAAACTGACAAAAATAAAAATATAGACTTCGCCTAGCGACGCGAAAACACAAATTCCGGTGCTTTATCCGATATGTACCGCTGTTTCATCTTTGTGTTATGTCAAAGTGCTCTGTTGTGTATTTTTCTGTGCTTTGTCAGAGAGTGTTCTCATGCAAATGTGTTATTTTGTGTTTGTTTTCAAGAACGCATGACGCATTCACTTTCACGTTGCGTTTGTTCAAATTTTCATAGAAACATGCTAATTGGTGGTTCAAAAGACCAAAACCTATGTTTACTGGTTGAATAATTAACAGTCTGAACCAATCTGGGCATGGGGGTGGGACTAAGCATCAACAATCATTCCTGTTTGGCTCAGAGGATCAAAATGCATAGGTTTCTTTTGACCAATCAGTGCTGATTAAAATGCGATGACGTTATCACGCTCACGACAGAGCCTCTGAACATCCAAACACCTCCGAAAAGCCGAGAATCTCCTCTTTACGGCACTTTTTAAATCATTTAAATTGGATTAGCGGTTCAAAAGTTATTAAACATTAGCCGCGGACTCGGTCTTTGAGGGTTAAACTGCATTTCAGAAAACTTGTAACAACAGTTCTCCTAATGTACTGTGATTAATCAACTGCTGAAAGTGTGATCATTCCTATTAGCTTAAACTGTAACCTGACCTGAGGTGTTTTGCCTTAAATCACTGTAACGTGCTGAACACAGAACATCTGTGGTGTTATATGCAGACTGTCGGTCTCTCACCGTGAGCAGGTACTCGACGGCGCGGTCAGGGTTGTTGAAACTGGCTCTCAGTGCCGCCACCACTCGGTCCCTCTCGTATCCCATCAGCATGATCTCCGTCACCATGTTCTCGTAGGACTGACCCGTCACTGCACACACGAAACACATGCAAACTCACTTCATCCTGCAGAAATTACTACTGACATGGAGAATGTGTGAACATGCTAATTTACCCAGCGCAGACGTCGCCTCTTCAAATATGTTTGCATTTGGCAAAGAACTGCGAACAGGAGGAAAATAAAAACAATCAGCTTAATATGAAATGCTCACTTCCACTGACACAAACTGTTTTTGAAGAGACACCAGGCCTGTCCAAAAACAGCACTCACGTCTAATCAGCAATAGTTGAGTATATAGATGTAGGGGGATGCACCAAATGTTCGGCAACCAAATAAATTGTAATGACAATGACGTGACGCGATCCGAGAAAGACACAAAAATCATTACAAGCACCGAGAGCGAGAGACTGTTTGTTGTTGATTGTTGCTGGCTACTGTATGATGATTGAAATCGCCAAACGACTTTAAACAATTAGTAAATAAACTGCAGAATGTAATGTTTTCTAAAACACGCACTAATTGCATGTGTTCTGACAGCGCTGCACGAGCTCGTTAGCCAGGGTTCAAAGTCCAAAGCGCGAGGAAAATCTGAAACAGTGTGGATTTCTGCCAAAACAAAAGCTGAGAAAAAGCAAGAACTCCATCAACATTCATAATTGATAGTCAGGGATCAACACTAAGGGTTTTTGTTTTTGATCTGTTATCTTGTATTCTAATAAATAAGCTTATATGACACCAATATTTATTAAATCTTACAATTCTCTATTTCAAGTTTGATACCACAGCAAAAATCACTAGCCAAAAATAAAAATAAATATAAAGTTTAAACATTATTAAAGTGACAGTCAGTAAATAAGAACAAAATACAAAGTAATAGCACAATTAAATATAGGCCTATAACACAAAGATACAAATTAAATGATGCTTTAGGTTATGTTTGTAGATGTTCAGGTCCAGAAATTGAAAAATCACATAAAGTAACATTCGCATATTCTTCACTCTGTGCTGCACCTTGATTTTTCATAGCCATTTGAAATGAGAGGCAACCACTGCATTTTAATCATGAATTGAAAAATAAAAACATGTGCACTGTTTGATTTATATTAGACTGTGTAATTTCAAAATCTGAAGCAAAAGCAGAATAACCTGACTTTAGCTTTGTGGAATTATGCTACATAAAACATCTGTATGAAACGGAAACAGCAGATGGGCTGAATGAGACGCAGATTCACTCTCTGACAGCAGGCGGTGCTTATGGAACAGTGACACAGCGTTTCCTTGGTTACCGCTGTAAACACAGCAGCGCTTATGGAACAGTGACACAGCGTTTCCTTGGTAACGCTGTAAACACAGCAGCGCTTATGGAACAGTGACACAGCGTTTCCTTGGTTACCGCTGTAAACACAGCTTATGGAACAGTGACACAGCGTTTCCTTGGTTACCGCTGTAAACACAGCAGCGCTTATGGAACAGTGATACAGCGTTTCCTTGGTTACCGCTGTAAACACAGCAGCGCTTATGGAACAGTGATACAGCGTTTCCTTGGTTACCGCTGTAAACACAGCAGCGCTCGTGGAACAGTGATACAGCGTTTCCTTGGTTACTGCTGTAAACAGCAGCGCTGTGCGTATTAAGACTAATTTAAATGCATCATACGGAGACAAAATGAAAAGAAAACACCATTTCTGAAAACAGTCAGTTCCGTTCCACTCAAAAACACATTCATATAAAATTCAATGTTTGGATTTTCTTCCTATATTTCGCGCATCGTGAACAGTGATCTTGTTCTGCCTGCTATATTCTCCTCTTTGTGTCCGTCTTCAGCATCTCTGGCTTCTGTTAACAGCCGTTTACAGACTAAGTATAATAATAACGTAATATTTCCACACAAACGGCCATTGGGAAAATGATTGCAGTGCAGTTTGTGTGCAAGCACGGAACAGAAGATAGTCCGAAATAAAACAAAAAATGTCCCGATGCATCTGTACTCCAGTGTTTAAATTCAATATAGATTAATCATTGTTAAAGCTACAAAGTTACTTGCCAGGACGGGTATTTTGATACTTATGTATGTATTTGCCCATTCAGACAGCTCACACATCGCGCAAGTACTGAAAGGAGTTGTCTTTCGCGCCCAAATGCTTTTTAATCGCTTGAATTTTTAAATGAACAAGTCTTAAAAACACATGCAAATGATCAAATGTCGTGACGACGCTGCAGTGGCCCGATCAGGTAAGCGACAAATCCATCTACTGTCCCGAACGTCTTTCACGCTGGCCCCGGGCCATCGGGCAGTCCTTATTGTCGAGCCCTGATTAGTATTCTAATTTTACTGTTGTTCTATAAAATATAAGACAATAATAATGATAATAATTACAACAGCTCTATTAATACATGTATTATAACATTCACACAGTGTTCAAATTGGGATCAGTAATATATTCTAATGTTTTAAAAGAAGTCTCTTCTGCTCAGCAAGGCTGCATTTATTTGTACAGTAAAAAACACATGCCTGATTCAAGAAGGGGGCCTCAAAAATGGCCAAAAAATATTATTTGACTAACTTTTTAATTTTAAGTTAAATTGTGTTTTTTGTACCTGGTTGGTGTAGAGGAGGGCTCAGCGCTGCTGGCGGGTTTGTCCTCTTCAGTCGTGCTCTCAGACGGGGTTTCTGAAGAAGGGGTCGGGGTTGTTGTAGTGCTGGAGGAGGCTGCGCTGGCCGCTGTGGCAGCAGATGAAGGGACCGATGCGGGAGGCGCTTTAGGCTGCAGGAGAAACATCCCATTACTCACAACTTCACACTGACACCACATGCACAAGCTCATTAACATATCACATAACATCTATTCAGTGTTCAGTAACTAAGTGAGGACTACACCAAACTCATTTACAAATACACATCTTGTAAAGTACAGCATCAAAACGAGTTTAGTCAACAGTTAGTAAGGGTCATAAAGACAGTGAAAAATAATCAGGAGAATCTAAATCATGACTCATCTTTTTTGGTTTTTATATGAATAACTGAAAAGTAGGTTGTACACAATCAAATCACATCACCGTACGGACCAGTGTCCAAGAATTTATCTTCCATGTTTTTTATTTGATTGCATTCTAAAAGATTGATTACATTTTTTTATAATTTCATTTCATTATTACCATTTTTATGCAATACATGCACATTAAATCATTAATCCAGGAAAATTAAAACAAATAAAACTTTCATGAATTCAATTTAGACACTTTTTGATTATGAAAATTGAATTAAACCATTAAAACTAGGCTAAATCCAGAAAAATAAAACAGACTTAAGGAAACATAAAACCAATTTCACAGGGCTCTAAAAATGACGTTTCTGTTAACTTTTATTAAACTCGTGTAAAAATACACGTTTCATGATTTCAATTAATTACACATGCTTTCTGATTATTAAAACGGAATTAAACCATTAAAACAGAAAACATGGACTTTAGGAAAAAGTAAAACCAATTTTATAGGGCCCTAAAAATGTTGTTTTTGTTGAACTTTTATAAAATTTCTGTAAAAAAGTTTCATGACTTGTGGAGGAATGGAACCAGGGGCCGGAATTAGCCAATTTTCCGCATGACCAGCGGATATTTTATACAATAGTAGTTCAATAAACAAGAAGTTAAAATCAAGTGACAGCTCCATCAAACGGTCTGTAAATACATCTAAAGCCACTTCAGATGCAGCTTCTGTGGAAAGATGGAGTTTGTTGATACGGATTTAATTGGAATGGTAACAGCCCTACAGTTTCTTATTATTCTAACTGAAGCAATGTAAGAATTTGATGATATTTAATAAGTGAAAAAATGACAATTTAAGAAACTGGGGGAAATGACATCCGTTTTCAGTTAATTGTTATTTCTACCTCTTTTCTAGTCATAGAGCACTTTATTTTGAGAGTTGTTTACGTGAGAGAACATCTGTAACTTTGTCCAGATTGCGGGAATTGTAATCTTTAATCATTTTTATTACGTAAATAATTTTTTTTGCATTAGCAAAAAAGCATAGATTTTTGTTTGTATATGCTGTCAATTATAGTTTTTAGATCGGCAATCGGCAAGTCAACTTACAAAAAAAGCTTTCAAAATTCCTCTTGAATGTTTCAGGATTTTATAGACGTCAAGAGTCACATGCATCAAACTCTGCAGCAGAGAAGCAACTGCACGCAAGCGGAGATAAGACTGATAATGCCTCACCTTTGCTACCATAATCACCACAAAGTTCTTCTCATCTATCTTGTACTCCTTGAGAGCCGCGTCATCGTTCAGGATTTTGCCTGCAGGGGACAAAATGATTAAAATAAACGTTATTCGTCCGCCCGCAGCTCTCGCGTCTGTCAGTCATTCATCAACAAACGTCAGAATGATGCTCCTGCATGATTGTACAGTATCACTGCGTTTCACACGATAATACAGAATAAGATGACAAATCAGGGTCACATCCTTATCAGCTGGAAACAGACGCCATACAGTCACACCTTATCGAACGCTGAGGACGTACCTGCATATATCAACTTCTGTCCCGCCACTGGAAAGTTATCTTTTCCCTTCTCATTCTCTATTTTTTCCTTTAAGGCCTTTACCTGTGAAAGACAGAGCAGGAGAAAACAAATCAAAGTCCGATCCGAGACAGCAAACAAGCACACAGACGCTCTTCCAAGGTTATTTTCGTAAACTAAGACTAAAACTATTGGTCAAAAAACATTTTCGTAAACTGAAATAAAATTTAAATTTCAAAATGAATGAAAAACTAAAACGAAACGAAACTAACAACAGTAACTGAAAAACTAACTAAAATAAAATAATAACTAGCAAAAATAAGTAATCGTGTTCGGGATTTAATAAGCTCTCATTCTGTGCCAGAAAATCTGACCTGTGGTTGTTCAGGGAAATACCTGTAGATGGCGCTTCATGCACGTGAGCTGAATACTATTCTATTCACAGAGAACGCGTTTTTGCATTTAAAAAAACAAGACGCGGGAAATGAAATGGGAAATAACTATAAAATATGAAATGGGAAATAATAATAATGCACACCTTACAGCGGATGGATGTTTAAAAGCGTGTTTGACGTGCGAGAACAACATGAGAGTGAGTTAACAGACACAGAATTACAATTTTTGGATGAGCTGACTTTAGTGAATAGTCATTTTGCAAAAGATCCAACAAATTAATGCACTGAAAACACAGATGGACAAAAATAAAGTTTACAGAGTTTCAATGACGATTACAAAGAACAGGTTTCCTCAAATCCAGCACTGGAGGGTCATTATCCTTGCAGAATTTAGCTCCAACCCTGATAAAAACTCAGCTGCCTGTAGCTTTCTAGTAACTCTGTTTACATATAAGTTGCATATTTTTGTTTTTTGTTCAATTGTAAGAATCATTTTATTTTCATTATTAAAGGGTTAGTTCACCCAAAAATTTAAATTAGGCTGCGTTTTACTCACCCTCGAAGCATCCTAGGTGTATATGACTTTCTTCTTTCAGACGAATCCAGTCGGAGTTATATTAAAAATAGTCTTTGATCTTTCAAGCTGTTTCATTGCACTCAGCGGGTGTTGCATGCATCAGTCCAAAATAACTTAAATAAAAAGCGCCCATCCATAATAAAAAGTGTCTCACACGGCTCCGGGGGCTGAACAAAGGCCTCCTGTAGCGAATCGATGCGTTTTTGTAAGAAAAATATCCATATTCAAAACGTAACAATCACTTTAATCACTGTTGTACACGGAAGCTGCTCCGGGAGCATGGCGTATGAGGTCAGCGCTGCGCATGCGCCGGTGAGTCTCGTGAAAACCAACGTTTGTTAACAGGAGCAAAGGAAGCAAAGTTTTCTTACTTTAGCAAAGAAAAACCAGTCTCCTCTTGGCTTATATCAAAATCCTCCCACATTCTTCTTTACAAATCCTCGTTTTGTACTAGTGATTAGTCTAATTAGTGACCGTTGTTTTGTTTTGATCTCTCCGCTGCGTTTCCGCGTTCGTCACTTCTGAGCGGTGCATGCGCAGCGCTAACCTCATACGTCATGCTCCTGGAGCTGCTTCCGTGTACGACAGTGAGCGCAAGCTAGATTAAAGTGATTATTACGTTTTGAATATGGAGCCGTGTGAGACACTTTTTTTATGGATGGGCGCTTTTTATTTCACGTCTTTTGGACAGAAGCACTGCAACACCCGCGGTGTGCAATGATAGAGCTTGAAAGATCAAAGACTATTTTTAATATAACTCCGACTGGATTCGTCTGAAAGAAGAAAGTCCTGTACACCTAGGATGCCTCGGGGGTGAGTAAAACACAGCCTAATTTTCATTTTTGGGTGAACTATCCCTTTAAAAGGTTTGCACAAGAGTTAACTAAACTGTGCAAATATTCAACTTTGCTCAAATTAAATGTCTTGCTTTGGTCTACACTGGAAGTGTTCCATTAACTCTGCTAAACTATAATTACTAAAACTAAAATATATAAAAACTAAATAGAAATGCGTTCGCAAAATAAAAACTAAACTGAAATTATAGGAAATTTGAAAATGATATTAAAATAAAAAATAATTAAAAAATTCAAAACTATAATATCCTTGGGTCCGGCTCAGCGCTAAAACCAGCTCAGAGTCTGAACACGACTGCTGTAAACCTGTAAAACCAGGTTTGTTTGAAAATCTGGAATCTGAGGGTGCAAAAACATCTAAATATTGAGAAAATCAACCCAGTTTTTCAGTCTCTCTAGTAGTATGTTATGATTGACAGTATCAAACGCAGCACTGAGATCTAGTAGTACCAGCACTGATATTTTGCCAGATTCAGAATTTAAGCGAATATCATTTATCTTAATGAGTGCTGTCTCTGTGCTGTGATGCGGTCGAAAACCAGATTGAAAATTGTCCAGGTATCCATTTGAGTTTAAGTATTTGTTCAGCTGATTAAAGACTACCTTTTCAATAATCTTTCCTATAAAAGGAAGATTTGATATTGGTCTATAGTTGCTCAATATGGTGTTATCAAGATTTCTCTTTTTCAGAAGGGGTTTAACAACTGCAGTTTTCAGGGAGTTTGGAAAAGTCCCAGAAAGAAGTGAGGCGTTCACCACTTCTAAGCTGTCGTTAATAATGATTTATCATTTTGAGCAGGAGTCCAGGATTGATTGGGAAAACATTTTTAAAATGCACATACTACAAAGAAGAGCCATAAGACGGCATTATAAAACAAAAAAGTACGCTTTAATTTTTGAATGGCGAAGACGTGCTCTCCCACAGACATTCACAGGTTCATTTTGAGGTATTAGCAAAACAACAAAACGAATGCTTTTCCCGGAACTTACGTAATTACCCATTATACATTGTGATATAGCCTGGTTCGTTGGTCCGTTGGATCGGATTGCTTTCTCACTACAACCGAACCGCTCCAGAGTTCGTTTTCAATCGAGCCGAGACCACCTCGTTCAGGCGATCTCGGACCGATTGTTTTGGCGCGGATCCGAGCGCGATTGCCGTGTTCACATATGCCCAAACGAACCGTGCTAAGGGGGGAAACACGCCAGGTTCCGAGACAACAGGACATGTGTGAAAACACCCTTAATATCCTAATGATTTTTGGCATATAATAAAAATGTATAATTGTGACCCATACAATGTATTGTTGGCTATTGCTACAAATATCCCCCAGCGACTTAACACTGCTTTTGTGCTGCATTTGTTCAGAGTAAATGAGTGTGTAAGACATCAGTTCACATCCCAAACGACAAAACAACTATTCCAATATCTGATCTGACCGTGTAGACTGAAACATTTACAAAACTTCAATATCAATCGGATCTCAAAGCAAATATGGAAGTGGTTTGGACCGGATCCGACGTGGCTGTTTGCTCTCCAAAAAACAACTGACTGGAGCCAGAAATGGCAAGCTGGTCAAAACGTTTGCTGCTTTCCTGAGAAAGAGTATTTCTAAGAATAAGCCGTTCCAAACGGAAAGTGTGGACTAAACCCACCGAGTGTCTTCCTTCATAAAGGTCCAGCTGACTTCTGACCCATCCGAGGAGGATCGCGTCTTATTTAACAGCACAAATGTGCTGTTTGCCCCAGATAGAGAGTTTTTTAAGGGCAGATGGGTAAAAATAAAAAACTCTTCTGTAAACTATCAAAGTTTAAAGGAATAGTTCACCCAAAAAACATTCTAAACCTGTATGAGTTTCTTTCTTCTGTTAAACACAAATGAAGATATACACTTAACTAAGAAAACTAAGTTTTGTAATGTCTCTTCTGCTCACCAAGCCTGCATTTATTTGATCCAAAATACAGCAAAAAAGTTTTCTATTTGATTATGTTTTAAAATTGTATTTATTCCTGTGATTTCAAAGCTGAATTTTAGCATCATTACTCTCGTCACACGATCCTTCAGAAATCATTATGATAGTCTGATCTGCTGCTCAAAAAAAGATTATTATTATTGTTGAAAACAGCCGAGTAGAATTTTTCAGGTTTCTTTGATGAATAGAAAGCTCAGAAGAACAGCATTTATATAAAATATAGAAATATTTTGTAACATTATAAATGTCTTTATCATCACTTTTGATCAATTTAAAGCATCCCTGAATAACTGAAAGTTCTGTCATTATTTACTCACTTTCATTTATGGGGGAAGAACCCCTTTAACGCCCAAAACATCCACACTAACATGAGTATCATCAGATTGCAGTGAGTGTTATCTTTACTGACGAACTGGGATCAAAACACAAAGCCAAGCAGTGGACTGATAATGCCACATGACTGCAAACAGTAGAAGCAGACTCAATAACACTGTAATATCACTCAAAGTGACTTCATCTAGAAGACACAGCCAGAGAAGCCCGATAAAGACATTAGCTGTCTGTAACCACTGAATCCATGAAAATACATGTAATGCGTTATATACATGTTTAGCCCTGGTGTGTTCAATTATACAGCTCAGTCATTGCAGTCCACGGGTCTGGAAACCACATGAATCATGGAGCAGATACACACTGTGTGTGTGTGTGAGTGAGTGAGTGTGAGCGAGTGTGTGTGTGAGTGAGTGAGTGAGTGAGAGCGAGTGTGTATGAGTGTGTGTGTGAGTGAGTGAGTGTGAGCGAGTGTGTGTGTGTGAGCGAGTGTGTGTGTGTGAGTGAGTGTGAGCGAGTGTGTGTGTGTGAGCGAGTGTGTGAGTGAGAGCGAGTGTGTATGAGTGTGTGTGTGAGTGAGT